GACAGCATATAGCCCAGCTGCCGTCTGCACTCTGCAGCAGATGGAGACGGGAGTAAATACACAATGGTAGTAGTAATACGCAAGCCTTCGCCTGGCTTCTTTCAAAGTTCAAAACCCACAACGGTATAGTCATAGTAATAGCAAAATATATTATTGTTATTAATGGACGACGAAGTGGAGCCTACGTAACGTACGCCATTGATTTTTTTTTTTTTTGATTCATTTCAGGACCCAACCCTTATTGAAATTGTTGAGTTATTTTTCATTTTTGTTACAAGGATCGAACTCTAATGGATGCTCTGACTGGGAACAACGCCACCAGGTCGACTATCTCGGAGGAGGAGGGACATACGCCATTGATTGATGAGTCTAAACTCTAAAGAAAGAAAGAATGCAGACTTTTTTTTCTGTAACGTTCATTCAAGGGGGGCCGCGGCCGCCTTTTCAATAATATCTTTTGGTCTCTTGAGTTTTGGTGATAAAGGGAGGAGTCCCTATTTTGGGTCCCTCGTTCTCGTGACTCGTGAAGTTGCAAAAGCAAAAGCGGTCATGGGGGACGAATTATTGCATTTAGATGAATAGGAACGCATATAAGTTTCAACGTAATTGCAATCAAAGGAATTAATTAATTCTTCTATAATCTTAAGTAGGGCTGCAAACGAATCGAGTCGAGTCGAATTTTGAGCTAATCGAGCCAAGTTTCGATTAAATTTTATCAAGGTGGAGCTCGACGAGCCGGCAATTTTTAAGCTCGAACTCGACTCGAATCAAGTCGAGCCGAGCTCGAGTTCGAAAAAAATAAAAAATAATAATTATTTTATTTTTAAAAAAATAAATAAAATAATATTTTTTTTTGAATAAATAATAAAATATTAAGGATATATACGTAATTTTACTATAAAAATAAAAAATAAAAAATATATATAATATTCGTAATTTTATTATTAAATAAAAATAAAAAATATAAATATATATACTCAAGCTCGCGAGCCGGCTCGCGAGCTAACGAGCTTAATATTCTGAACTCGAGCTCGACTCGAGCTTGATTAATATCGAGCTCGACTCGAGCGGCTCGATTCATTTGCAGCTCTAATTTCAAGGAAATTTTTTTTTCTTGTTAGATTATAGATTTTACGATTAACACAAAAAAAAAAAAAGCAAACAAGAATAGGTAATTTTTACTGGTTTTGATCATCCTCTGCAATATCAGTTTACATAAAGCAAAATGTAATAAAAGCAAACAAGAGTGAGGTCTGAATACAGTTAAAATAGCCTCGGCTTGAAATTGAAATGAGAAAAAACAAAATAATCAGCTTAAGCAAAGAGTGGAGGGTAGCAATAAGTAATAATCATCACTGGTGACGCACGTACCCGCCGAACAAAAACCGCAGGAGTTGCAAACGAGAGGTCAGTTGTGTAAATAGGGCGGAATAATTGTGTGATTAGGATCCTTTTATGAGACTACAAAACGGATTATTCCAAATTACTACTGCTAAGTAATGAGTACTCCTACTAGCGTTGTTGTGTGATGCTACTCTCTCTAATACTCCTACTTTTGTGGGTTGGGTCATGTATTTATAACTTTGACTAGTGACAATTTTTTTTTATTTTTTTTTGTCGAAATGATAGAATTCTTAGGAGGAAAGGGGAGGAGACTCGATGTGAGTAAAAACTCCATCAAAGAAAGTCAAAGAAGACCGTCACATATTGTGACAAATTTTTAAGGAAGGTTCGAACCCATAACCTCTTTGCATCACCAAACCTTAGAAGGTTTGAAATGATCACCGGACCAAAGGGGCAATGGCTTGATTAGTGACAATTGAGGGCGGGGAGTGTGGGTTGGGGGTAAGTAGCTGAAAAGACGTATGGGTGTTCCCAAGGTCCAGTGCACGGTGCACACCTCATTATTTTTTTTTGTTTGTTCACATTACAAGCAGTTCTAGTGCTACATCATGCATTGCATACGCTCAAAAACGTGTGCCAGTAGTGCCAACAAAAGGACTTGTCTTTGTGGGCGGCCGGGGGAGAGGCCAATCATTCACGCCTTGTCTTTCATAATCTTTATTATGGCTTCTCTAGATTCACATGTGTATGTATGCGGTGTATTAATATGGTTCGATGGTTGTTTAGGCCTTGTTTAGATTGTAATTTTTCGACGAAAAATTACGTTATTTTTCGTGATCACATTTTTCTATTATCTTTTTCCCTCACATACATCAGATTGCTATAGTAATTTTTTTCATGAAAAATCATAAAAAATGCAATCCAAACACAACCTTAGTTTTTATTGATGTCCGTTTTTTTTTTTAAATTTAGTTGAATCATTCCATAGAATAGATTAGAGCAAGAATAGGAGTGAAGCGAAGGGTAATGATTGATGATTGATGATAAAAGAAAAAAAAAAAAAAAAAGGGTTGATATACGTGACTAAACAAGAGCCCACATAAATTGATTCCCCAACTGTTCACCCCTGACACTTTAGCATGGGATCAATTTTAGAACAAGAATCCATTTTTGATCAATTGAATTTTTCATGCAGCTGCTTTTGTTAGTTTGCAGGTCATACAAAGATTCGACTACCAATACAACACCATGATGCTCTGCAGCAAGACTTTGAGGTTCCTGCGAAGTGCCAAGTGAAGAAGATGAAAGTGCAAATTATTGCTGGTGCGTATTACAAGTTTGAATATCTAATCTCCTTCAAATATATATATATATATAATCTAATAATGAGATGCAAAAAAGATCAAAAGGGAGGGAGAGGGGAGATTCAAGAGACGTCCACCTCCTCTAGGATTTCTTTATCAGGGTGGTCATTCTCAACTGAATTGTTGTCGCCCCCAAAATGAGAAAGAGAAAATAATAAAGCATCTTAATTGTTGAAATCATCCATTTGGTCATCCTCCTCAAAAGTCTAAATTTTCGGATAGATATAATTAAATAGTTGTAGAGTAGTTCAAAGAGAGGATGATTGAGAGGCTTTAAGGTCATTTCAAACAAATAAAAGAGTGGTGGCAGTTAGTGACCCTACCATTATCCTAATTGAGATTGGTCCATTTTTATTTGCTCTTAATTAATGTAGTTAGTAGTATTAGGTTTTAGGAGTAACTGTCCGGGGAGACTTGCTTTTAAAGTTAATAAATGCTGCGTTCCAATTTGCTTTTTCTTTTTTTCCCTCCAGAATGCGCCTGTCCTTTAGATTGTTGAACATTAAAAGACTAATAACGGTCGAGATGGCCAACACTTCCGCAGCAGCGCATGGTATTTTGTTGCGATTAATTATTGATGTGCACCAAGAAAAAAAATAAAGCGTAACTCCGCGTCTGGGATATTCTTTCTATAAAATGCACTAATCATGATCATTTTTTTTTACGTCTTTTTTTTTTTTTTTGGGCATAGTCATGGTTGGATTGTTATTTTTAATGAATTTTTTTTAAAAATAATTTCATAAATATATTTTTAAATCGTCCATTTTACTTCATACACATCAATCAATCAATCGTTGTAGAATATTTTTTTAGCAAAATAAAAAAAAATAATAATAATCCAAATGGGACCGGCCGTATCCTCCGCAAAAGTCTTGGACGGCAATTTGTCTCCTTTAGTACACTATTGAAGCGATGAAAGCTTCAACATTCCAACATATTTTTCTCGGTCCTCGGGCTTTTCTGTGTGTCTCTTCCATTTCCATTTCCATTTCCCCCTTGACTTCGCGGTCATGGTTAGATTTATGATAAGCATTTCTGTCTAGAAGTAGAGTATATTACTAGTTTACTAGCATTAATTTGACTTCTACCACAGGCTTCCATTTCCCATTTTCAAAAGTTGGCAATCTGGCTTTACCCCTTCAAATGGAAACGCATTAAATCATTAATCATCCGAGTATATTATACTTAGAGTTGTCAAAATGGGTAATTTGGACGGGTTTGGGTTGGGTAAAATGAATAATGGGTATAAGTGAATCAACTCATTTATACCCATTTAATTAGATGGGTATAAGTGGGTAAGTCAAAAAATGAATTGGGTAATCCAATTACTCATTTATAACCCATTTATTTTAAGTTTTTGTAAACTCATTTAAATTTATTTTTGCAAACTAAGTTATCAATTTATACCACTCTTTATACCCATCATTAGTTTTAAATATTTATTTATAATATTTAATAAACTTAATTACCATTTTTTTTCATTTATACACTATGTCACAAAATTTTTTTTCATCTTATTGATCTTCCTTCTTTAAATGGTTCACGCACGCGATTGAGTGCCACACAACTAAATTCTAATCATTTGCCTGCGAATTTCCCCAAGACAAAAAACAATTCAGCCATGTGAGACAAAGACGCTACTAATTGCGTGCGTGTGGGTTAAAGTACAAAGACAACCGCATGGGTATAGAAGCACAATTTGTGGCAGAGCCTTGACAATTTATATGCCAAAGAGGTGTTGATCTATTAGTTAAGAGTTGATAATTTATGAATTAGATGTTTTGACTTTAAATTCTTTCTGTTCTTTTTCCACTTTTCAAATCTTACCATTCTTCTGCTAAATAAAATTGACAAGCATGCAGTAAATTTTTTTATAAAAAAAATTGACAATTATATAGTGCGTGCATACAGAATCAAATTTGTTAGGATAAATATTTTTTTTTTCGAATTTTGTAAATTATCTTTTTATTTTGCATACGTTAGTTAACAAAAAGTGCTATAATTTTACTTTCAAAAAAAAAATCTCATAATCTTTTATCCAAAAAGATTTAATCGAGTCAAATTATACGCAAGTATTTGGCCAAAGTAGTAAAAAATTTCAAGTACTATACACCAAAAAAAAAAAGGGAACTCAATTCTTGTACGTGCCTTACACGCACCAACTACCAACTCGCAACTGTAAAGTCCGCGCTCAAAGCTTTCTTCTGATAGTTGGATCAGAACGCGTGGGTCGGTGTGGTACTGGCGTTTCGTTGTGGATGATACAGTGGTGTGTTTGGCTTGCCAGAAAATCCAAAAACACAAAAATCGGAAATTTGATTGACTGCATTAAAATATCTTTCTCTCAACACATAAATACGCTGAGGTAAACGAGGGATTCCGACAGGCCTCAAGTCCCATGAATTCTCAGTAGATTTTATTCTCTGCATCTCTCTCAGCAACCACTTACTTCGTCAAAAAAGAAAAAAAACGCCTCGATCTGCGAACTGGTTTGTCGTTGGATCTTGGATTAGAGCCACAGATTACGCTTAAATTGCTTTTGACTTTGGAGCTAAAAGGCAAGAAAAGGAGAGACCTTTCAACACTACTATTTTCACTCCCTTTTCCTCGGCTTTTTTCTTTTACCTTTTTTTAAGCTGCTGTGAATTTTCACTTGCTTCTATGTGCTTTTTGGTGTTGGATTTAAGCTTAATTTGCTTTTTGTTCTCGAGATGTGTAAGATCTGAATTTTTGTTTCGCTCTCTTGGACTTTTGTATTAATTATTTGGTACAGAACAAAAGGTGGTAGCTTTGTCGATATTTGGTCAGTCCTTGATTTCACTTTACTCGGGCCTTGCATATTAGTGGAATTGGAGAGAGTTGTGTTTTGAAGCAGAAGCAGAACAAGGTCTGTCTTTCAATAATGTTATCTCAATTTTGGGATCTTTACAGTTCTGCTTAAATTTGAGCTCAATTTTGGGTTTTACTCGACGGATTTTGTCTGTTTCTGAGTCTGGAATTGGGGTTTTCCAGACGGGTTTTATTTGGTAAAGTTGGCATTTTTTTTGCTCCAAATTTTCGATATTTAGAGTATTTGAACTCGACTTAGTTTGGGGATCTCTGGTAGCAGTACTGACTTTTCAAGTTTTAGCTGAGTGAGATCATTAAGTCCAGGTTTGACTGGATTCCTGCGTGTTGACTAGCTTATGTTTACTACTAGTGGTTTCTGCAAGTTCACATATTTGTGCTTTCAATTATTGACTTCATTAACCTGATTGATCTAAGTAAAATTAGTTATTTTTTCCGGTACTATCAGCTCTAAGGTACAGTGTGATTTGCTTGGTTGTACAAGTTCAGATTTCGATACAGGCAATGATGTTTCATAATTTCTGAGAGCAACTTTGTTTACTTCTTTTACCAGGCTTATTCTGTGGTCTTGCAATGGATTCCCCTCAATCTGTTGTTTCGCCGTTCAAGAGCTCTGCTGTTTTTGCTGAGCCTGAGAAGCAGACTGCTGATCTGTTTGTCAAAAGCCCTGATTACCTGTCCCGGGGAATTGGTGCTCACAGAAAGGAGGCTGAGGTTTATAACTTGGAGGAATCCGTTGGAACTCTAGAGGTTTACATACACCAGGCTAGGGACATCCACAACATATGTATATACCACAAGCAAGATGTTTATGCCAGGCTTTGCCTCACAAGTGACCCTGAAAATGCTGTCTCCACTAAGATAATTAATGGAGGTGGGCAGAATCCAGTCTTCAATGAGAATCTTAGACTTGGCGTTCGTACTGTCGATACTTCCCTGAAGTGTGAGATATGGATGCTCAGCAGGGTCAGGAATTATCTTGAAGACCAGTTGCTGGGATTTGCTTTGGTGCCTCTGTCTGATGTCCTGGTCAAGAGTGGGAAGCTAGAGAAAGAGTTCTCTCTATCATCAACGGATCTCTTTCATTCCCCTGCTGGATTTGTTCAGTTGTCCCTCTCCTACAGTGGGGCTTTACCTGACGTGCTGGCTATTTCTTCTGCTCCTCCATCTGTTGTTACTGATGTAGCTGTACATGATTCAAAAGCAGCCGAGTCTGTTCCGGATGAACTTGACAAAATTGAGTTCCCTGATCCCAAGATATTGAATGAGAATCATTTGATGGTCTCCGAGTATTTTGGGATTCCATGTGCCAATCTAGACTCCCAGAGCTCTGACAGCTTCGTTTCTTCAGATACTGAAAATCAGCTGAGTTCTGAAGCTGGTGTTCAGTTTGTCGAGAGTTTGTCAATGGGCACCGTTGGTTCTACCCAATTCCCAAAGGTTGATTCTCCTCCTAGCAGCGGGTCCACATATGGTTCACCAACTGCTTCACTTCCAGTGAGCTCCCAGTCTTCCGAGACACCAGTAGTTTCAAAATCTGCTACTGAAGAATATGCCTTACCTCCTAAAGAAAATGTGAAAGAGAGAAGCGCAGATGCGGGAGATGCCGAGAGTAAGGCATCTGAAAACCTGCCTGGCGAGTCATTTGTAAAACCTGTCGTCACCGTGAAGATTGAGCCAGAACAAAAGATGGTGCAACAGGATATTGTGGATATGTACATGAAAAGCATGCAGCAATTTACCGAGTCATTGGCAAAAATGAAACTTCCCATGGACTTTGAGAGTGGACCAACCAGTTCTGGAAATTCAAGTTCTGATCAGAAACTAGACTCATCTAAGAACTCTGGCAATAGAGTCTTTTATGGCAGTAGAGCTTTCTTCTGACTTCCTGTTTTAGTGGATGGGACTTCACAGGTGACTTTAGTGATTAGAATCAAGTGCAATGCCATCAGTGACACTAAGCTGAGTTTTGATTGTGTCATTTTCGTATGTAAGCAGGCAGTGCTTTAGGTGATGGAAAAGATCTTGACTTGTTCGTGTTGTTTATTGCAGTTGATCCTAGTATATATTTGTCACTGCTGTACTTCATCATTCTAATCACTGATATACTTGTGATGGTTTGAAAACTCGCCGGTCTGGGCTAGAGTCTCTGTAAATTTCTGATTCTACTAATAACTCAATCAACTTTCTACAAGAAGTCAATAGTTGGATAATACGTGCTCTGAATCTGGCAATGACTAAACATCTTGTTTCAATTTGTTAGCCAGGTTATGCTAAATCAACTGAAGTACCCATGCTAAATCGACACCCTTTTTTGAAGTCTGAACTCGCGTGATGATTGGTTTTAGGATCTATGCGTACTTGCAATCCAGTCTGAAAAGGAAATGAGATATTTCATATTTAGTCTGCTTGTCTACACTAGTTCACAGAACTGATAATGATTATTAACACATCAATGTTTAACAGCCAATAGGATCCAGCCTCTTCTGGCAGCTGAAGCTAGGTGATGGACGACTTTAATGTACACACTGCGCCTGCAATGGATGACAAATTATGCTGGTAGGAAAAAGGAAAATCCAATTGCTAACATGGGAAAAAAGAAAAGGAATTGTTGCATGCTAACTGATGTACAAATTTTAAATTGGTACTTCAATTAGTTCATTTGCTCTGGAGTGTAAATGCCTTCTACAAACCCATGCAATTTGACCATCATCCCGGTATCTAACTCGCCATAGTCCAAACTTCTCTGCAATTTCTTTTCCAGTTGAACACCTTCGATCCCTTAAGAAATCCACTACCCATTGCTGTGCTGCCCTAAGATCTTGCTGAACGTCCCTTGAGCTGTTATTTCTGTGTCTCCCTCCAAGTGCGGCAGCACCCGCAATACCAGCAGCGGCTGCACTGGCACCCCCATAAAGCATGGGAGAGTCAACCAGATGCGAGATTTCCTTGCTCAAATCTGGTATCAGTTGTCCCATCCCTGCTGCTAAATGGGCTCCAATCTTTAGAGCAAACGTTAAGAGTTTCATGAAATTTTTCATATGAGGAGCTAGACATTTCAGTGCCCTGTTATCGACCTGCATCATTTCACATCCAATCTGATCTTCTACCACGTGCATCTCTCGTCGGAATTCACATAACATGTGCAGTCTAAGTGCAGTCATCCCAGAAAAGATGGTAGTGACCAATCTCCTTGAGTAATTCTCAGTCTGGACAAAATAGAATAGATTCGGCACTTTTCTTTCTTCAACTTGAATGTTGTAGTTCACAAGGTAGTTTACTTTGCGATGCAGCTCTATTAGAAGCCTGTGTTCATAGTATCTCAAGCCTTGAATTTCCTGTTTTACATCTCGTATTTCTTGTTCAATGATCTTAAGTCTCTCCAAAACTAATTCTACCCCCTTGGCAATTCCAGCAAATGTGGGTTCAACAGTGGCATTAGCTCCTTCACTGGTAATTGAGGACTGATCCGAGTCATCTGTGTTGTTTTCATTCGGGACTTGAAGTTCCACAGCAAGGTTGTGTAGGTCATTGTACCTACAATGAAGTACCTCACGGAAGTCATCGTCTGATAGAAGATCTCGAGCATAATCAAACCCTGAGCCCAGAATGGATTTTCCAGAATCAGCTACTGGACCCCATGTGTGCTGATAGTCATACATGCTGTCTGCAGGAACCGAGAGCAGTGCTTGTTTTAGCTGCTGCAGAGGCACGAATTGGTCTTTCCTGTATCTGGGGGGTATTAGATTTGTGATACATTCTGGCCGCAGAACATTTTCAGTCAATGTGACACCATGGCAGAGACTCTGAATTGCTGGTATTATCAGCTGTTGGAAAAGTCTGAGTGTTTCTGTTAGGTGTTTAGTGGAGCAAGCAAGCACATCAATATAGTAACCCAGCTGCCCTCCGAGCTCTATGCGTACATAGATGCCATTGATGCTCATCGAAATGAGGTATTTCTCAATGCTATACGTTGCTCCATGATGGTCCTTCACTATCCTGTTGTGCAAATGTACCTGGATTTCACGGAAGTGTTTTCTTTTCAAAAGACCAACTATTGATCTCCATTTTATATGGTGAGAAATTCATACCAATTCTCGAATTTGTTCTCACAGACAGAATCCACTAAGTGCAGACGTAAGCAGTTAATTGACAAATTTCATGCAGATTGTCTTTTTGGATATCAGCTAACAGTAAGGCAAAATTAAGGTAAGAAAATACTCTTTTTGATGATCTTAGAAGTTCTCAAATTTATACATAGGAATTAGAATAGTTTGAAACAAAGATATTAACTGAGGAATACCAGGCTATGACAGGTTTTTATAATAGAAGAAAACAGCAAGATAGGATCTGTTTCTCATTTATAACATGCTTGACATGTATTGAATTTTTTCTAAGATCAAATAAAATTTTTACTCCAGCAAAGGTGATAAAACGAAACTAATCTAGTTGGAACAACTTGAACCAAAATTATGTGCAAGAAAATAATGCTCTTTTTCACGTTCTTCCCGGTGTGACATTGAGTTTATTTCCCTCCTTTAGCAGTATAATGCTACTAATTAACTAAATGGAGTATTCATCACCTGGGCATACTGAGTTTCTTTCTTATCTATGCAGGATGAAAAATCTCTTTGATATTGAAATTCCTTTTTTCTTCTTAGCAATAGCTGAAAGGTAAGGGGAGAACTAAAATATGATATAGAAGAAGATTCTTACCTGCAAGCGGGGGAAGAAGCCTGGGGTGAGAAACATATGACTTGAGTCATCGCACTCGAGATGTCTGCCTGCATAAATGCAATCAGGTGTGTTTACTTGCCATCTTTGTGCTCTCCACCTTCCTTCATCTAGGATAGAGGGTATGAGCAACAATGAGTTGGGATCTGATTGGTCTTGCTGATAACATAGTTCCAATTTAAGCATCATTTTCACAAGATCACTAGCTTCCAGATTCTCAAAAACCTTTGAGCCAATTCCAGGAATCTGGCTATGTAAGCTGCCTCTTAAAATCTTCTCAAGCACTTCTCTGCTTATGAATCCTTTATTCTCCAATGAGCTCTGCTTGCTGTTGTCTAATCTGATTAGCTGACTAAGTACGTCACTACAAAACCACTCACAATCTAAAATAAGGAATCCAAGTTCCTCGAAGTAAATCACTTCACCTATATGATGAAGACAGACAGCAACAGCTCTTCTTTTCATTTCCACTTTCTCCTTGTTATCATGTCTGGATCGAATCCTTAGGTACGGAACCTTGACTTGGCATAGATCACCAAACTCTTTCCACTTCATTGCTGGCTTATTGTGATTCTCCTGTCTCCACCTTGAAAGTATTTCCACAAGGTCATTGCAGAGCTCGTAAACCCTAGGGACTCTTTCAAGAACTGTTTTACTAGTCTTTAGTAGGTGATGAGCTAATTTACTCACTGATGCAGATGCTCTTGCATCAACTGTAAATATAGTTGGATAGAATTCAACATAACCTTGAAACTTATCTCTTAGTCTCTGAATTAAATTCACAGTCTGCTGCATGTTCTGTGAAGTTTGACTGATTTTGTCATAGTGTGTGAGCACCACAGTTACACTTGGTAGCATGCATTGCTGCACAGCTCTTCTTGAGTTAGACACTATAAATCTCAGCCAGTACAAGATATCTTCTTCTATTTCACTTGAATTCTTTGGTTCCCGGTTATTTGGTTTCCTAAATAAGCTGGAAGTGATGAGGAAAAAGGATGCACTTCCATGCCCGGGAAACATTAGATCATGGAGTGAATAAAACTCATGCTGCCCAGCAAGGTTCCACATTGAGATCCTTGTGTCTTCATCTTTGAATGATGTTATTTTTATTCCGACTGGTCTAATGGCTTGCTCCACCGGCGTTACCAGAGTTCTTACTTGGTTCAGGTATGGCAACTTTCTCGAAGAAAAATGCTGGTGAATGGAAGTGCACAGCGTCGTTTTACCTGCACATAAAACCAAAAGCATGAAATATTTGACTTTAACCTGTCCGGGTAAGAAAATACATTGCACATGAACTTTTTCATGGAATGTAGTCTTTGCAGGGATAGCGTGTATCTTACCAGCATTTTCTTGCCCACAGATGAAGACCCTACAGCTCTTGGGTGCTGTCATTTGCATATCCTTTAGCAAATCGATGTCCGGTACTGGTTCTGTTCTCTCACTCTGACCCAGCCTTTGATAAACTGCTTCTGCCTTGCCACTGTTGTGCAGAGGCGTTCTTTCAAGATCAACATCCTCAATCCAAGGATTCACCTGTAATGTTCCCATTATAGTTTGCAGCACCAGGTCACCATCCACTCCTCCGCAACCTTTTAAAGACAAGCACCTTAGACTGGCATTCCTCTCCAAACACTTGAAGATTCTGATAATGTCATCTGGCCTTAAACTCTGATCATCATATATTCCTAATCTGGTCAAAGTCTGGTTGGTGGTTGTCATCTGTACTATTGCTGCTAGCCCATCCTTGCCAATTTTTGTTCTACCTCCCCCAAAAGTCAGTGACTTCAGAGTAATATTTGCCTGATTTTGCAGTGAAGAGAACCTGCTCAAAGGGCAAAGTAAATGTTCTACACCAATTCCTCCAAACCAGTTTCCATCAAGATACAAACTATTCAAACTCTGGTTTTTGAAGAGTCCAGCTGCAACGTAGATAATTCCCTTGTCCTTCAGGCATGTTTTTGACAAATTAACCTCTTTGAGGCTTCGGTTCTGTTCCAACACCCATCGGAATTCTTTTGCCCACCGCGACTTCAGCCTGACACCAGTCAAGTCAAGTGATCTCACAGTTGAATTGCACCCCAAAGCACAAGCAACCCTGCAAGCACCTGAAACACCAAGGCGGTAAATACGAAGTGTGCTATTCTCAGGCACAAACTCAACCACCTTGAAACTTTTTTCACGACTGTCTCCGCTCCAAATGTGAACTTCCATGGATCTGTTCCTCGCTAAAACTGCTGAAATTAGTGGTGTTGCTGTGAATGCCTTGAAGTCAAAAATTGTCAGCAGCTTCAGAGTTGAGTTCGCTTCAATCATTTTAGACAGTTCCTCCGCCCCTCTGGATCCAATTGAGTCTTCCCATATCTGCAACTCTTCTAAGCTGCCATTTACCTTAAGTGCCGAAGCAAGCAGGGTGGCTCCAATTGGTCCAATTCTTGATTCAGAAAGCATGATTTCTTTGATGACTCCATTCTTTCTTATAATGTCTGAAAGCCCTGATAAGCATTCCATGTCGAACCTATTTCTTCGAAACACCAGCAGCTTAATATTTGAGGAATTCTCAAGTGACAAACCAAGGTCTCTTACTTGCTGTAACTCCCATTCAACGTCGTGGAACTCCAAATTTCTCAAAGAACTTGAGTTTTCAGCTGATCCAAGAATGGCAAGCAGGCGACCAAAGTATTGCAGACTGTCATTCGAAATATTTATGTTTACGGAGTTTTCTGTTTCTTGGTGACAACCTGAAGTTGGTTGAGATAGGTAGAAGGAGATGCTGTGCAGGTTGAGACTTCCAGAATTCAGCGCTTGCAGAACCCATTGAAGATCTCTTACACAATGACTTGATGCCATCGTACGAAGAGAACTGCCTAAAGATTAACGAGATAAGCATAAGCTACGGAATACAGGCAATGACTATCTTTCCTAGGACTGATTTCGTTAGAAAACAAAAGAACTGGTTGATAGAATAGTTTAAACACTAAAACAGTAGTATCTTGTTGGTTTCCTTGATGAATGATGAAGAAGTTATTCCTGTGTATCCAGCCACCTTTCGGCTAAAAGACTAAAACTGCGCCAGTGTTTGTGGAATTGGCAAAAAGGTTCCATTTAGCTTCTCTTGCACTCAGGCTCTTCACACAAGATTCTTTAACCTTCTTTTATTTTTTTTTTCTGTCCATAAAATCCCAATGGGGGTCTTTATGATGCTTTTCGCTTCCCGAGTGTGGAATTCGTTTTCAGGTTGTGCATTGTCTCCATTTCGTCAACAATCCCATGTGTGATTGTGCAGACACAAGGGTCCATTTCTACTGTATAATTTGCCTTCTTTCTACATGCTTTTGGCGTAAAACTGGAATGTAATATTCGATTAATATTTGATTAATGAAGCTCTAAAGACAAAAGATGGAGGTTAGGCTGTAAAGCAGTCTGCAACTTTTGACCTGTTAGAATTGTTGATCCTTTCCCATGGGAAGAATAAAGAATCCAAGGAAGCATCGAGAGATGGCCAAGTGCGCGGCAGCGACTTATTATTCTTTGTCCAAGGGCTAAGAGTGTAAAATGCTTGCATGTAAACGTACTAAGTACTTTTCTTTTTTTTCTTTTTTTTCAGACGCGACGCAGGGATATCGGACTTTCGGCTCTACTAATCCCCTACGGTCCGAGAGGAGAGACCCCATCCTCTCGAACACGTTAACTCTGAGACTCGAATCCTAGTGAAGGAGATGGACAACGCTTCCTGAGAAGGAGGGTACGTGACCAACCGAACTATTCAAGAGAGGCTACTAAGTACTTTCTCAAGCTCTTTTTGTATTTGAGCGGTTTTCCCCTTCAACCCTTCTGTTGAACATTTCAGAAGGGAGGGAATACGCAGGCAGAGTCGAGACATACGATGGAGGGAAGGGTAATTTTGACCCAAAAAAAGAGTAGAGTGCAGTAAAATGAAGTTATTTAAAAAAAAAAAAGGTTACTTTTCGGGGTCCATTTGATTAGCAAGAAAAGTTTTAAGAGAAAGTGGGAAGTTATTGAAACAAATTACTTTATTAAGCAAAACCCTATGCTTAGTTAAATGACGGAAAGAAACAAATTAAAAGACAATCCACCATAATCTTGCAAAATTGAAGGACACAAAATATGAGAAAATGAGAAAGTTGAAAATCGTTTTCATCTAAGGATCCATTTACGAGAACTGATTAAAATGTTCCAGTTAAGTTAGTTAATCCTATGTATTAGACATTTCACTAATTAACTCATATTATTATCAGAATATATTACTTCAACAACAGGGATATTTCTATCAATTTAACGTCCATGTTGTCATTTTGGGTCCCAATAATCTGACAGGGGAGGTATAAGGGATTTTCGAAACTTCAGGGGAGGTCCTTGAGACTGTCAGAAACCTCAGGGGAGGTTTCTGAAATTATCCCTTATTATTATTCTCATAGTCATAATCATAGATATAAAATGAAAAAACACAACGGATTAACACACCATAAAGAATGTTTTGTATATGCATTTTCTTTTGTTGTTGACCAAAGCAACGTTCTCCTCAGGCCCACACCCACACATGATCGCCCAGGAATAAAAACGAGACTAATGATCAGTCAGTCCGGGTCCTTTTCCATTTTGGGCCCTTTGATGATTTGAACCTGTGCTTACGGACTCGTATTAGGGACTCTGTTCCACACGGTGGCGCTTGAAATGCTTTTTATTATTTGTTGAGATGGAATACACCCTCATTACTAGTATTTGGATCGCAAATTTTCAAAGAAAAATTGCTACGTTTTTCGTGAACATATTTTTTAATTATCTTTTTTATCTCAAATATATATATATATATATCAAATCGTTACAGTATTTTTTTCTAAAAAAAAAAAAATTGCAATTCAAACACATCCTCGTTCGTATTGCCAGGAGGGAAAAGGCAAAAAGTAGTTAAGCCCTGAAATATTTATTTAGCTCATTGGGGTTGCCGCAGCGCGCACGGGGGAGGGAAAGGGAAAAAGTTAGTTAAGGAGGACATTATTATTATTGTATTATTGGTGCTCGGCCGGCCTCACAAAATTCTTTCCCTTTATCCTTTGACCAATAAAATAATAACTAATTAGACAAACAACGACACTACTACTATAATCTTATTTGAATTGTAATTAATCAAAAACTACAAGTTTTAAATTCTGTTTCAATACAGTGCGTGTCATTTGCAAAAATTCATTTAATTACATCATCGACACATCTTTCAATCATGTTTTTGTTTCACATACATCACATTATTAAAAAAAAATATTTCAGTAAATATTTTTTTAAAATAAAAAAATTATCCAAAATAATCTACCAACCAAACGCAATAATAATAATAATAATAATAATAATAATAATAATAATAATAATAATGGCTGGCTGGCTGGCTAATAGTTACTAGACTGGTGCTGGTTGGCGATGCGATGGCTAAAATAACCATCAAAGTTGCTTTTCCGCCAAGAAACGTGCGACGAAAGACGTTTTAACGTTCGACAATAAATGAGATTTGACGGAGGGAAAACGGCTCTCCTCTTCCCACTGCATCAAGACTTAAACAACATCAGATCAACTGCCCCCTCGATCAAATACCACCTACTCCTCACGCACTACTATTCCTGATCAACAAGCGTTCCACTTCCTTTGTTTCTGGACCCAAGATAAATGATTACGATACTACTATTGGATCGCACAAGACTAATCTGCCTTTGTACAGCAGCCCGTGTTAATTAATTCACTTATTAAGCAAGGCGACACTGACGAATTCGGAAAGGTGACAAAACATGCTCCTCCTTTCAATATTGCTCCATGCACTAATTGGAGTCTCCGTGGAATTTCCTTCCCTACTTCGAACTTTGCTGACTACCTCGTGTTAGACAGACGATGAGATATCTAGCAACCTAGATAATGCAAAGCATATTTTTCTTATTTTATCAACCAAAAAGAAGAAAACTCCTGTCGTGTCTCTTCTCTTAAGAACTAGTACCTAGAAAACTCCAGGTATCTTCTACTAGAGTGGGCTATAAGATGTAATGTTGCTGTTATACTGCATCAAAAAAAATACCTACCTACATCACGAGAACCACCATCAGGCTTAAAATTTGGTAAAAGTTTCAGGGAGTCTTACCTGACCACTCCCACAAAATTCACACCACCCCCACAAGCAGGCTCAAAATTAGTACTGTATTAGTAACCTCCCTCACAGGTTATGAATTCCATCAAAACTGACGACATCTCTACAATTTTTATTGCCTTCCCAAGCAAAGTCTTTAGTTTCTTACGCGTTATGAAAACCCTCATTGATTCTGCAAATCATGGAGAATGTCAAAGGAACAGAGTGGAAAATTATCAGCCCTGACAAGGAAAAAGAAATTGAGAAATAGAATGAAGACAGAAAGTGGAATTCTATTCATGCTCAGCCATCCATTCAATAATGTCCAAACAAAAGTTTTAAACACGTTGAATACATTAATCTCCAAAAACAAAACGAATCACAAATCTTCAGTAACTTATTGATGGGGATCCTAGGTCGGTATCCCTACTAATAATCACGCTAGAAAATCAGACAGAACCTCACATACAATCTGAGAGAAGTACAGTTCCCAGAAAAGAAGGAAACTATGAGAACAGAAGATGCCAGCAACTTCGCCAGTCATTACAGCAGAAAGGAAAACAAGATACCAAAAAGGTGAAAAAGAATATTAAAAAAATAATACTCTACCTTTTGATATAGTAGTAGTACCAGCAGTACCATATTGTAGAAGAGATGCACAACACATTAACTAGAATGGACCTCCTGAGTATATCCCGCACTCATTTACATCTCAATCAAATGCCCACAAAGGAACCTAAATTATATTAGAAAATCAAATCTCAAACCACCACAAAATCCCTTGAAACTGCTCTCTCTCTCTCTCTCTCTCTCTCTCTCTGTGAATATGTATACGTTGAATAAGACCCGCCCCCCCGTTAGCTCTATATGATCAAAGTCCTTGTAAGCTGAAATATTTTTGGAAAACACATATGCAACTCAACTGGCCACCTGTTTCACTTGAGTCTCTTTCTTCTACTATTATCCTCAGACATTCAAATAATAAAATTTCCTATGCAGCAATCCCTGTGGAAATTAAGAAAGAAAAGGAAAAACAAATATCAGAACCTTGCTCCAGATACTTTAAGATACTTAATCACTGAATCAAAAGCAGATAAAGCATTTAAAAGATAATAAGCAAAAAAAACCTAAATTAATCATCAAGCTGTTGAGTTCATGGAGCACAGGAATATAAGAACACTGCCACAGTCTACAGATAGATGCATACAGATGAGCTCTCAGTTTCCTTCATCCCACACCTCAGCCCTATACATTTCCCGATTGAATAAAGCAACTAAGCTGTTGCTTTGTTCATCCTGTCTAAGTATCCTTTCCACAACTATCAACATAGATACCCTGTGTAATGTCCACATTCAGGACCTAAACATAATAACAAGTTCGAAAAACCTCAATTTTACCTCTTTGATTTGATGGAACACATGTTAGTAAAGAATATATGTTTAGCTCACACACGATACACGTCTTAAGCATGTAAATTTCAAAAGGTTGACACATTTCAACTGAGGCCATTTCTCCACGAGCTGCAAGATAGCAAGTCTCAAGGAGTACTCCATTCTTTACTCTTTGTTACATTGGTCACCCACATCTGTAAATCACGCCGATTAGCAGAACGGTAGGATTCTAAAACTAAAGTTAGGACCATTGCCTTCCTCTTCAAGTTTCGATTCAGCTAAATACAGTCCAATTCAACTTTAGCACAGAAAGATAATTGATTCTCTTTCTGGCTTAATAACTCGAGTTTTTTAGCTTAAATATACAATTAGCTAAAGGTGAGCCTTCTGGTGATTCTTCAAAGCAGTGATGCATTGTGCTATTAATAATGGTTACCAATTAAAGTATTAAATCCCCCAAGTGCAAACAAGTGCAGGATATGATTTTCATTTGATCTCTTTTTTTTCTGGTGTTACAACAGCATACCAAGAGAGAGATTTTGATAAACAAGTTACTCATATAACCCAGAGAATGCTAAGAGAAGAATTTTCATCTGTACAAAAAAAAATTTCACCATAACTGAAAAGGAAGAAAGCACCAAGAAAAAAAAAATCAAGGATACATTGTGATCACTGGAAAAGTTCCAATATATAGTTAAAATGCAACATATTTGAGTTAATTATGTAATGGCATATAAAAGGATTACCTCTATTAGATTGCCTATTTGCAATAGTATAACCTCCAACATAACCTTCAGAGTCCTTAGGTGTAACGTCTGATGAATTTCCAAGTCCATAACCAAATGAACCAGTACCATCTACCTCAGAGGATGCAGACTGCCAAGTAGCATCACCATACATTGACCCACTGCGGTACAAATTTTCATAAGACCCCTCATAAACATCACTAGACCCAGCAAATGATGATGCTGTAGCTACACCTGTCCCACTGCTTCTTCCAATTCCTCCAGATCCTAGGCCATAACTGTTTTCTCCACCTCTGAACCCAGCATTTCCAGTGCCATAATTAGAAGAATTACCACCAACAGGAGCAGAAACAGAAGAGCCCCAGTTTGCTCCATTGACTCCAAAGACTCCAAAGCCACCACTTCCAGAGCCCAGGTATGAACCAGTGCTGGCAGTATTTGCAGAATTATTCAGACCACCATTTCCCCATAAGTTCCTAGATGATGAACTTAAAAATGAATCTCCTCTGCTACTGCTTGTGTTGTATCCAATTGGAGTGCTGTACCTGCTTGAATTGCCACCAAAATAGGGGTTCAAAACCCTCCCATAACCAAGATTGTTACTAAAGCTCGAACCCCCACCAAAACCAGGACTCAATGCTGGGTCCAGATTCACACCCATTCCATAAGCAGGAGAACCAAATTGAGAGAAGCCAGTGCGACCACTAGCAACTGGATTAAATCTACTATCCATCCTGACACCATAGCCTCCAAGTGAACTCAGATTATATCCTTGTGCATAGCTGTTAAGGAAGTTATTTGCTCTATTGAAACCATAGTTGTATCCAACAAGGGGACTACGGCTAGGCCCTGGAGATAGCTCTTTCGGAACAGCCCGCTTTACCTCAACCATCTTTCCATTGAGCTCATGAAAGGTTTTATGTAACACCCTGTCCACTGCATCTTCTGAATCATACGTTATGAAGCCAAAGCCACGTGGCCTTTGGGTGTTGTGGTCATACATCACTACAACATCTGTAATATTACCAAACTGCTCAAAATATTTCTTGAAATCACTCTCATTGACTGTAGATGCTAAGCCTCCTACAAAAATCTTTTTGGTGCGTCCAGGACCTGGTGATCCTTGAATGCTACTACTATTTCTATTTATTATGTGTTTATCATCCCTTGGAACAGCTTTCTTTGCTTCAACCTGAAAATGAAAGCCAGCAAAGACTTCATATACTTGGAGACATTTGCTCATTACTCTAGAGGCCTGAATTATCAGATCTTTAATGTCACATTTGTAGGAAAAACCATACAAAGGTATGGGTTTTTCCACTTTCCTGCTTGTCAGGTACATAATATTACTATTGCTAAGCTCTAAGAATAGGTTCCATGCCAAATGGCATGCTTCCAACTAATATCAGATTGCAGAGCAGTATTGCTTGACAAAAGTTTATGACTCCTACATTGTAATGTTTCGATGAAATTTACAACATAAGCTACTTACAGTACGACCATCAATCACGTGCTTTTCCATAACCACTCTTTCAGCAACTGCAGGATCAGCAAAGACAACAAAACCGAAGCCACGAGCACGACCAGTATTGCGGTCTCTCATGATCACTGCCTCTACCACTTCACCAAACGCTCTGAAATATTCTTTTAAGCGATCCTCATCCGTATCCCAAGAAATCCCACCGATGAACAGCTTACCGAGATCTGATTCCATCCTTTCTGCAAACAATTAAATCATCAGCATCCTCAATTCAAATACAACAGCACCTTACAAAGAAAATGCAAAAACTGACAATCTAACAAAACGCTATAACAATCAAATAACAATCGTCCAAACCTCAGGAAAGGAGTAAATCAATTGGCAATTAGCACAATTGTAAACATCAAAAAGAGTTGATGACACAGATTATTAAAAACAGGAGACTGCAACAGTCCGCATCAGATATGAAGCAAAACAGATCCAAATGTGGGATGGAAGAGAAAGATGAACAAAAATCTGACCTTATCCAGAAAATCAGGCAGAGCCCAGCAAAGACACCGATCAAATAGCACGTGGGAAAAGTTGGAAAAAATCCAGGATCATCGGATCCTTCATGCATCAATTAAAACTCAATCCAGCACCTCTGAGAGAAATATAATTCGCATAGATCAGAAGCCCAATACAAAATCTGCTAACAAAGATCAAAATTTTACAGATTTAATCAAGACGAGCTAGAAAAGAATCAATTTTTGAAGCAATCTCACCATTTGAAGGATAGCCCAGATGAGAAGGAATTGATGAGGATGAAACCAATAAGATCTAAGAAGAGGAATAAATATGTATGTCCACAATAAAAACAGAGGATATGCTCATCCTCTTCTCTCTCTTTCTCTCTCACTACCCCAGAGGTCCCTCTCCTCTTTGCCCTTTTCTTGGTTATTCCACTCCTTTTAAATAGTAGTAAAATAAAAATTAAAAAAAGGGGCAATGGAAATCCTAGCTGAGATGAGGGGCTGTGAGAAAGAAATTATTAAAAAAAAAATTATTTATAATGGAGAGAAGAGAGAGAGAAATGTGTGTGTGAGTGTGTGTCTCTGTGTGAGTGTTAGGCAATCCTCTGGTGAAAAGAAAATTTAGAGGAGCCTAAGGCAGATGACAGGAAATGACGACCGTCTCTTAGAAATTTTTCCCAAGACGAGAAGATATCGTGAAATGTTTTCCAAGGAACTTACGGGTGTCATGAAAATGAAACACATATCTAGTGCGGACAAAATGAACTAAAATTGATTTAGATTTACACTTACAGTGCAGGCCTCAAATTTGTTGTTCCATAAACTTCCCTTAGACCAGCTTGAATTCCAAAAAAATCAAATGCATCAATTGCTAATAATACATATTCAGTATTCTTTTTCCATCGTACAATCTCTGGGGCATGAGCTGCTGAAATTGAAAATCATTTACTTTCTAAAATCAACAATAAAATCAATTCATCAATTGCTAATATTACATATATTTTTTTCCTTTGTAAAATCTCTTTATGATATGACTACTGAAAATGAAAATCATGTACCTTTCTGAAAAAACAACATTAAAGTCAATTTTTTTAATTTCAATCTCACTTTATTTATTATTATTGTTTTGAGGAAAAAATATAGAGCAGCATCTACACGGTAGGAGCCAAGTTTCGGTTGTCCTCTAATTGCTCAGATCCAATTTTGACAGTTTTCATTTATAATTATTGTTTTGCCCCGCTGGAATTTTAGAAAAATTTTCATTGCCCCTCTTTACTCAACTTTTTACTTTAGGAAACATTTTTTATAGACTATTATTAAGTTATTTTATCAACAAAATTAGTTATTTCCTATGAGTGCTTTATGTTTCAAAACGTAATACAATTGACAGTTGTAACCAATATTCTATACTTTAAAGTAAAAATTCTATACTTCGGGGTTCGGTTCACTGGTTGTAGTTCCAGTTGGGGGAGAGTCAGGTCACGGGACCGAATCCCCGATTTACCGTGGCTAGTGATGCTTAGGGCGAGCAGCTCCCAGCCCGCAGTGAGATTAGTTGGGCCGTACGGTAACCAGTCCATGGGCCCAGATACCTACTGTGTAGAAAAAAAAAAAGTAAAACTTTGTGATATGTTCACATAAATAGATTATTTTTTCTTTTTTTCATGTACGATGATAAAGAAGAGAAGATTAAAACATGAGTTACTACGTGATTTGACATACTAATACATATTTTAATACAATACTAGTTATATTATATGACTTCTTTACTCTACTTTGTAGGCTTTATTTCATTAATGTTTTTTTTTAATATTATCAAGCTGTTGTTGGACAGCTTTGTTTTTATAAAATATTTTTTATTAAATTGTAATTATATATTAAATTTGAATTATTAAACCAAAGTTGTTTGACAACTATGGAGTTGCGGCAATTTATCTTATTATAATACAATTTTTGAACTTATTTGTATTTTTTAGATTTATTTATAATTTTTTCAGATCTATTATATCTGTAAAACTACGCATATTTAACCTGCCTATCTGTTTTTTTTAATGCATGTTTAACCTACATATTTGTTACTTTTCATGCATGTTTACTACAATAATATAAATTAATACGTGCTGAACGATTTCTCACAATCCGTTAATGAATTTTATTTTAAAAAAAAAAACCCCGTTTGTTTTGGTTAAACCGACGAGGATTCCAAAGAGGACCGCCCTTAAGGATTCTGACTAGAATAATTGAGTCATTCACCTCGAAAAAGTTCCCTCAAAAGTACACTTGGAGGGAGCCTTCCATTTTTAGGTCCCTCAAATTTTCCTAGTTACTCTATAATATCCCTTCTTTTTTTAAAAATTGTTTTGAGAGCTTGTAATGTGATTTGTTTTTGCTGCAAATGATAGCTATGAAGCAGTAGTGTTTTGATAATTAGTTAATGAGAATTGCTTAATGATCCAATTTCTAATGTAACTGCACAACAAAATGAGATTAAAAGCAAAATTAGCAAATAGTAGTAGTAGCATTTAGCATAGTAGGGCTACGCTTGGTCGATAAGATTGCGGCTTGCCAGCTGATTATTGCAATGCACCTCGGGTAAAAATAAGGTCAAGCGTCCACGTCTTGAGATTGACATGTGACAACATGTCTCTTCCAATATCTCTGATCCATGGAAAAAACTTTTTTCTTTTTCTCATAAATTTTATCCTTTTTTTCTAATTAATAATTGTATATAAACAATGGTCCAAATAAAAAAAAAAAAATCAGTCCCAAACCTCTTTTTGATTAAAAAAAAAAAGTAATTTCGTTACAAACATATGAAAACATAAAACTCCAAGAGTTTCCTCCATTAGATGAATAAAAATCACATCAACTCAATAAATCTGTGTGCTGTTCTTGCATTTAAGTCCCCCGTATTGTATTGTTCGAGGCCTTTTAGGCTTTCTTTTTTTTTTTTTTTTTTGGTCAACACAGAGGTATCCCAGTCATTGCCGGACTAATCCCCTGGGCTGTACAGAGCCCCGTCCACGGATATACAGTAAGATTCGAACTGGTGACCTACGAGATATTATCGCATGTGATTTTTTAGATTTTTTTTTAAATTGCATTTTTTTTGGACTTTTTGTAGAAAAAATACTATAGCGATTTGATATATATGAGATAAAAAAATGATTGAAAAATATATCCACAAAAAACGTAATAATTTTTCTTTAAAAAATTACAATCCAAACACACCCTTAGATTTTTCATTTTCAAGCTTTTTACCATAAACTGTAAGGGTGAGGTTTCGCTAAACTGGGATGTTGATGGTTGGGCCACCGGTGCGCGCATGACAAATTCAATTGGTGACACCCAAAACCGAATTGTCCTGAAAAGTGCCATGCATGATCATTGATGTCTTCATCAGGGATATATGTCTTTCTAGGGTCATCCATATTCTATTCACTGTTCATTCATTTCCACTAAAATAACACGAGTAATTCTACCATGCCCTAACTTCATATTAGAGTTCTGTGATGCTGCAACAAATTTAAGATTAAGGAAATAAGTTGAAACGCGAATATATTTGCAGTGGGTTGTCCCTTTTATACCAGCTATTCCTCATTGCAATGGTCTTTTAATCATGGTGTTTCTTACCTACAGAATCCACACAGAAGAACAATTAGTCGGCGTACCCAAGGATGTCCAGATCCAATATGGAAGAATCTACGAGGCTGAAACTGAAGATTAACTATGATTTCGCTATAAAGGTTCAGTCAACTAGTCGGCCGAACCTTACACATAATCCGGACGGTTGTTTTGGGATTTTAAGGCCACAGGAAGACAACAGTCTTTGCTAGATTGATTCCACAGAATTTGTGGAGGAGGAAGAAATATCTTCTTGAGCAGTTACGACTTCCTGTATTTTCTCCAGCACTTCAGAGATGGAAGGTCGGTCTCCAGGCAATTCTGACACACATTTGAGAGAGATGTTTAACAGTGAAAAACCATACATCTCAAACTTTTCAATCTCCTTGTCAAAGACCTCTCCGGTCCATTCCTCGCGCACCTTGGCCTTCACCCACTTCGGAAGGTCCAACCCATTCTTCTGCATTTCTGCAAACTTCCCTGTTAATAGCTCAAGAAGGATCACTCCAAAGCTGTAAACATCTGCCTGCTCAGTCAGTCGTTTTTCAGGTGCTGCGTAACTGGAGGAGTTGAAGAAACGTGCTTTGTTGGAAACTAAAAACTTTGCAATTCCATATTCACTAATGAGTGGTTCTTCCTTCTCGTCCAACATGATGTTTGAAGGCTTAATGTTGCCATGGGGGATGATCTCCCCGTCTTCAGGCCACTGATATATGAAGTTCAATCCCCTTGCTATCCCAATTGCTATTGATAATCGAAGTTTCCATGGCAAATTCCTTTTGCCCTCGATATAATCTGCAAAGGCAAGAATTGTTCACATAATTTGAATCTGCAGGAACGTGAGAAAAATTCATCACATATGTTTATCTATGCAATGAGACTAACCGTTGAACAGAGTTAGTAGACTTCCATTATTTTGAAATCTGTAGATTAAGAGTTTTTTCTCTTTAGAGGAATTGTAACCAACAAGAGATAGGATGTTTTGATGCTTCAAATTCCCAATCTTTCTCATTGTTTGGCCAAACTCCTCAAAGGACACCTGCAACTTTTTCAATCTTTTGACGGCAAAAGTGGCATTATTCTTCAGTCTTACCCCGTAAAGACTACTACAATGCCCCTGCCATCGCAGGTCAGCTGAAGCTTCAAGCAGCTCTTCCAAACCAAACCTTTCATGCTTTTCTATGAAGAACACGAGCTCTGAATGTCGTTCTTCCGCCTTTTCTTCTACCACAATCTCGACATGAGGACTTTTCGGGGGGGAAAGAGAGAGTGCGAGTTCCCTTGTAATCTCTGTGTCTTTAGCTGCTTGGACAGCTTTCAGCCTCGTGAAAAATATGAGCAGCAGAACAAATGTGACTCCCATAGCTAAAACGACCATCCACGATTGCCAATGTTTACGCGGATTATCATCATTCTTTGAACTTTGCTTGCCATGTGATACATCTTCTGGAGCTGGAGAGAATGCATATCTTTTATTTGAAATTTCGCCTTTGCTAATAGCATTGGCTTGTGATATTTCTGAAACAAGCCAATATTTCCCCACACGTCTGGCTTCACGATTCAATTGAGGATCCGTACTACCACAATGATTGTCAGAAATATCAAATCTTTTAAGATTTTTCAGCTTACTAAGAGCTACTGTAGGTAGGCTTCCTGTCAACAAATTGTTGCTCAAGTCCAAGTGCATCAGGCTTTTGCAATCTGCTATGGAATCGGGGACGGTCCCTCGGATTCGATTCTTGGCGAAGATAAGCACACACAAAATTGGTAGTTTGCATAGTGTCTCTGCATCCAGAATCCCACTAAGGTTCAGGTTTTGAAGTCTGATTTCTGTTACAGGGCGGCCAAATAGACTAACCATCTTGCATCTAACTACTACATTCCACTGATTTGAACATGGCTGTCGTAGTGACCGACTCCACTCAATTCTCAATACAGTTTTGGGATCAAGAGCACGAATGAATTTGAAAAATAGCTCGATTTCAGATAACTCACCTCCATTGCAGCCGCTGACAAATAAAGCTAAACCTGCCAAAGCTGCCAGCCAAGGAATGCTGCCCCTCTGCATGATCCTAGAGTTGCCAATAAATCGGAATGATACTTGTCCTGCTCTCAATTCAATGACTATCATTCCCGAGTATCATTCATTCTCCTGCATCTTCCCGTTTTTAGTTTTGCATAGGAAATGGAAACAATTTCTTCACGGTTTCCAATGACCAGCTCGCATAACATCATCCTACAGCGAAACACCCTATGCTCGAATTTTTTGATGGGAAACAGACAGGGGCGGAGGGAAGGGGGGGGCCAGGGGGGCCAACCGCCCCCCCTCCAATTGCTAAAAAAAAAAATTTCTAAGTAAAAAAATTTTTATTATATTGTTTTGCCCCCCCAAATATTGAAAAAAATTTTCACTTTGCCCCCCCTCCAATTGTTATAAAAAAAATTTCTAAGTAAAAAAATTTTTATTATATTGTTTTGCCCCCCCAAAATATTGATAAAAATTTTCACTTTGCCCCCTCTCAAGGATCCAAACAATAATGTATAAAAGTTATTTGGACCAAGAGACTCGCCCCCTCTAATTGCAATTTCTAACTCCGCCACTGGAAACAGACTAAACGTTATTATAAATTTGCTCCAATCGTCCAGCACCCTATGCTCTAATTTGACCCTATGATAAGGTTAAAAACATGGGACAAACTCGTATCAATGTGTCATTGAGTTTGAAAACTCGATTAGATTAAATTGAGTTCAAGTACAAAAAAAGATTTGAAATCACGTTATTTCTAAACTATATACATAAATGTGAAATTTTTAAAATTAAGTAGGTGGACTATCTTTTAGTCTATGGCTGTTGCTTAAGTTGTATTTTACCCTTAATATAGGATTTTTCGATTAAATTTTTTCAAATAACAATATACGGAGACATGTTGGCATGCAGATTGTTTGTACCCTGTGTCGTGTTATGTAATTCTCAATAGCTGACCAATCAAAAATTTATGAACCTTATGGAAAAGGACGATTTGTATGTAGGGGTGTTAATTGAACTTTTTTGAGTCAAATTTTAGCAAAATCAAACTCGGCTGACAAATTATACTGGTTTTCTAATTTTGGGCTTTTGAGCTTCGAGTTCAAATTAAAAGACTCAAGTTTAACTTACACTACTATTATATGAGTTTCGGGTTCAAATCGAGTTTGGCTCAAGTCGTAATTAAATACATAAACATATAATATATATATATATATATTATAATTATGAATTACTATAAATTTATATAAAAATTATTAATATTTTATGTCATGATATGTACAATTATAAATTATATGTATTATTATTTTGTGTATATATAATTATACTCATATATCGATCGTGTGTTAAGTGGGTTCAAATCTAGTTTGGTCCAAATTCAACCCACATTTAATTTTAAACCCAAATTCTATCCAACCCAATTAAAACTTAGGTTCGACGCGATGGCATTGACAGCCTATTAGCATGTGCATTTGATGGAACTCTTGCAAACGTCAAAAGCAAGAAATGGGAACCGCCCATTTGTGTGATGGTGCTAATCGTAGCATAAGGTATATTAGGCAGATCACGTTTGTAGTATCTGACGAAGGAAATCATGTGATGCGATTAACTGTCTAGCAATGGTTTTTAGCAAAAGGGCATTAGATTACTGATTGAGACTGGACTTTTGAGTTTGATTGAATTGTGCAAGCTCATTGGTAACATCGCCCCAAAAAAGAAAAAGAGAGAGAGAGAGATATTTGGACGGCTCTTTTTTTTTTTTTTTAACTTAAAAATATTCTAATATTTCGACAAGATTAATCTTTTAAAATTATGTAAAATCTTATCTCAAAAATATATAGCGAAATAATATACAAAAATCGATCACGATATCACTAGATATGTCAGTAACTATCAGGTTACGAGAACAATTGGAGTATCCCCACGAGCCATTATGTTGTGTTGGCTTTTTGGATTCTACTGCACTTTTGGGTTGTCCGACCAGGGATCAATTCTTTATGCTTTCTTTCGCAGGAAGAAAATTGTGAGCAAAACCTTATTTACCATCTACTTGTGGCGAGGGGTATTAGATTATAGAGGGTCAGAATCAAACCACTGGCAATTTTGATTTAGATCCTTTCAATTACTACTACTTTCAGTATGCTAGGAGAACTGAAAATGGCAAAATTCAGATTTCTTTTCAACGCATATCATTTTCAAGATAATCATTATTTGGGCTCTGACCATTTTCCTGCTCGCTCGCGTTAGTATGAACTATGAATAAAAATTAGGGTAAATTTCAATTTGACCTTTCAAAGTAGATCAATGTGTTAAATCAATCCCCGAAGACGATCAAGCCCCAATTAAGCCCTAGTTCGTATCGAACCAGCCTAGGGATGGCAACGGGGCGGAGTTGAGGCGGGAGACCCCTCCCCCATCCCCCGCCCTGCCGCCTACAAATTCCCCCCGCCCCCGCCTCATCCCTTGTCCCCCGCTCCTCCCGCCCCGCCCCGCCCCGCTTCCCCCGCAGATGTTCTCGTGGGGCTAATAAGAATTTGTTATATAATTTTATTATGGTTAAATTTTAGCAAATAATCAAGTACTAAAATATCAACACATCATTAAATTATTATTCATTGTAATTTTACAATTAAAACTTATAAAAACAATCAAATAAAATCATTTGAATACAATCCAACATGATGAAATAAATATAACTAAAGTAGTCAAGTTTTCACTTTTTGCACAAATACAATCACTAATTCATTATTGTGTTTGTACTTTTTTTTAAGAAAAAAAAAGTTATTGTATTAAGTGTAATTAGGGATTTAGTATAAATGTATTAGTAAATTTAGTATAACCAATTAATAATTTGTATTAGTACACATATATAATTATTAGTATAATTAATAATATCAATTATATTATATACACTAATAGACATTATATAATACATATAACTAATAATATCATTATCATAAGTTTGTAACTAATTAAATTATATATTATATATATAATTATATACATATATATTTTAGATATTTATTTTTTTAAAGCGGGTGGCGGGGCGGGGGATGGGGCGAGACCTTTTCTAAGCGGGGGGGGGGGGGAATTCCCCCTTAGCCTCCCGTGGTGATGCGGGTGCCTGCGGTCACCCGTCCCATTGCCATCCCTAAACCAGCCCTTCCATCAACTCATGATTGGCCAATAACGTATCACTAAAGTTAGTAATAAAGTAAAATCTATCAATCTTTAGGGACTTTAAAGGAATTCACTTCCCCATCTTAATGATCTAAAAACGATAAAATAATACTCTTCTAATCTGGAAAAAAAATATATATTTTTGCTGCTATTTTCAATCTTTTAAAGCCGAGTAGACTAGCACCGTTCTATAATTTTTCAACTCATCTTACACAGGAGGTTAATCGCCTCTGGAATCCAAAAAATTGATAAGACTTCACCGTACCAGTAAAGTTTGGTTAGTGTTGTTGACCAAACTATATAAATTTTGGTCGCTGCATGCCCATTATGATTATGCACCACCGCATTATCATAGATGAGAAGAGCTCCACCAATTTTTCCATTTTTGTGATTTTTTTGGTCATTACTGGAAGAAATCAGCCGCGACCTTTGTTTGGTCGTTGCACAGAGTTGATGGAAGTGGTTGGGCATGGAGGCAGAGCAGCCTACGAGTCCGACGGCCGTTAGTTGGAGAGGCCCATATGAAAATCTGCTCGTGCGCCATGCCGCCGTTGCACCGCCTTCTTTCTTTTATATTTCTGGCACATTAAATGAAACAGAAAGCAAGAGATAGCCGATCACGGCAGCCATTCTTTTTCCCTTTTCTTTTCCTTTTCTTGAGAGCGACAACTGGTACTTGCCAGCCGCTTCTTCTTCTAGTAAAGCTGTCTTCCCCACCTCCTACGCCAAAGAAAGGCCCAAATTCGTAAAAAAGTCAGAAGGTCGTTTGCTTCGGCCTCAATCTTTAATCTTCTGAGGTTGGAATCTTGGCTTGTTGGACGCCACCAATGCACAACAAAATACTAGTGAAATACTACTAGAAAACAAAACAAAATCACCCCACCGGCCAGCCAGCACCAGAAAGTGTGCTAGCTAGTCTGCACATCTTTGCCAGCGTTTAGTTTCAAAAGAATCAATCACCTATTGACTTGCAACTATGCAATTGCAAGTCGTCTTTAGCTTTACGTGAATTGTACTGACATAACTCTTTTTTTTTTCCATTGATCAGAATTGCGTCTCAGCAATCGACAAATAAATTAGTAATATTTTTTACTTTTGCTCGAGGAGCCGAAACGTTCCCAAAACCACTTATAAATCTTGTTCAACAACTTATTCTTTGGTCATGTTCTTTCTTGTACAACTCGACATCCTACTCATTGTCTTTGTTGAACTTAATACTAACATAATAGTGTGGTTGTGCAACTACAACTTTGTTAATATCAAAACAAATCATCCAAAACCAGTTGTGATCCTCCCCATGCCTCTCTAATAAGTCAGAGGCAAAAAGGGCGGAAAGCTGAAGAAACAATGCAACAAGGTTGCTTGCTGACTTAGCAAAACCAACATGTACATCTATAATCAATAGTCATCATAGACGAATATTATCCTCTGCATTATCGTCATCATCGTCAACTATCCCATCAAAGAACGGGTCCTTGAGAAGATCAGCAGCTGAGGGCCTATCCCTTGGCTTTGCAAGGCACTTCTCTACGAATGCCTTCACCTCAGGGTCCTTAATCTTGTCCATGGCTTGAGGTCTCACCCCAGACACCACCTTCTTGTATATCTTTGCAACATTGTCACACTCACTGTAGGGCAATTCAAGGGTTACCATCTCAAGCACACACATACCAAATGAATATATATCAATCAACTCAGTGTAATCCTCCTCGTATAGCTCTGGGGCCATGAATTCTGGGGTGCCAACCATTGTACGTGCACAATGACTCTTCCCCACAATTGCAGCCAATCCCAAATCACCAATCTTCACCTATATAAGTCAAAAACAAACTGTAAAGTTCCCCCCCGCAGAAATTTCAAGCAATTAACTAATATCACAATTTCCTAAGCCGCAAAAGGAAGAAAGTATTGCAAAATCAACTCCTGAGTTTTCTTTATCTAACCAAAAACTACATGTTCTACAAGGTTCAATTGAGAGGAGCGAGATAACAGTTGGCACGCGCACGCCTAATCTTATTGATCCTGGTCTCTATTTCTAAAAAGAAAGCAAAATCAAACAATCTCATTTACTCCAACCTAATTTAAAATTTCACTCAGGCATATACTAATGCATTATCAGTAAAGGAGAGAACATTTACACCGTTGTCGTTATCTAGCAACTACATTTCCAAAATTTCAACAACATCCAAGCAAATACTGACAATAGCAATGACAGACAACTAATAAAAGATGTTTATACCTGTCCAATATTGCCATTGATGAACACATTGCTGCAATTCAGATCTCGATGAATGATACAGGGTTCATGAGTATGCAAATAGTCCAAACCCTTGAGAATTTGCCTGGACCATTTCTTCAATGCCTTCAACGAAACCTGCCTATGCTTTTTCCTGTACTCCCTCAAATTCCCAGAAGTACAAACTTCAGTGATAAAATTCAGTGTTTTCTTTTCCTCGTCTCTCCACACAGAGTACAGGGCTATAATATTCTTGTTCTTTAATGTCCTCAGCAACCTAACCTCAGAATATAGCCTCTCAATCATAGCTTTATCATCACAGAATTTCTGCAATTTCACTTGGTTCCAAGCCACCTCTATTCCTTCCTCTTGATCGAATGCCCTGTACACTTTCTTCACTGATCCTGAGCCCAGAAGCTCATTATACCGGCCATATCGGCCACTGGGATCAACCTCCACGAATGGCTCTGTGTCTGCATTGGCCGCATCAGAGCCCATGCTTGTTAGCTTCAATGAAACGACCAAAACTTTATTCAGATCCCAACAATAAAACCGATTAAGGCCTGATGACAAAAAAATTCTTACGACTTGGCAGCTTCAATAAATAAAAAGATCGAAACTTTATTCAAATCAAAGCAAACATAATACTAGTCAAAAGCAATACACAACCTTATGAGTGCCAATTGAAATGATGCAATCAATCTCTGGATCTCAATTTTGTCTTTTCCTTTTTTTATATAAATGAAGCAGATAAAAAAGAAAAAAAAAACGAAATTCTAAGTAATTTGCAGGGACTCCAATTAACCGTCAAATTCCTAAATGCAAATTTACATAACAGCAATTATCCAACGATAAAAACTAACCAAATTTACGATTTCACAGGTTTATATTCAAATAAAAAAAAGATAAATTCATACTTATCCAAAAGATTTTCTTTAGCTAAAAAAAAAGAGCAGTACAACCGATTCTGAAAATCTTGTTAACGAAAGAACCACACAACTTCCCAAATAGCAAAAGCAATAAAAGGGAAAAAAAAAACCAACAATCCTAAACTTGACAATTCATAGAAATTTTCCGAAAAAAAAAAACTCCTAAAATTCTTACTTTCTCATATTTTTGCATGAAGATCAGAGTTTCATGGTCAACCCAGAAATCCAGAAGTTTTTTCTTTATTTTTTTTAAAAAAAAATTCAAAACCTATGATGCGCAATCTTGACTTCTAAGGCAGTTCAAAGCTTTGTTAACGAGAAAGTAAACATGCCAACCATACGAAAACATGCACGAAATAGACCAAAAGCCCGGGGTGGTTGGGAGAACGACGAAAAAGATAGGATCTTTTACCATGTAGGGAGAAGGCCCAGAAGGGTGGATGAGAAGACTTTTGTCTTCTTCACTAAAGTCTAAACAGAAGCTTAGAGCTTACTGCTGCTTCCGTAAAAAGACGAGACAAAACATGCGACATTGAAAACGATGAAGAGTATTGAGGTGGCGGGTTATATAGTAGTACTTGGGACTAGGGGGAATTTTTGACTTGCTCGGTTGGGGGACTTGTCAGCCAAAGCCAGCTAGGGCTGCTGATTCTCGACGGCTCTGATTTACTGGGTCTTAACCCCTGTTCGGTGGGTTTTACTGTGGTTCTAAAACTCGAGGGTTATTACTTACCAGTGACTAATTACTAGCACTAATTTAGCACTACTAATTACTAGCACAAGTAAATTGTTTGCGCGTGGATAAATTTGTCCAATTCTGATTTACTTCTATTATGGATTCTTCACCCAAAAAAAAAAAAAAAAAAGGAAAGAAGAATACACAAGAATGGATTATTATCATTATTGTAATCTCTATGATCAGAATTACAAAGTATATATATTGAACTGGTGAAGATAAATATTCCATGGGATTTGGCAATTCTTTGATTTGATTGAGTTTACAAATCCCACGTTTTGAGTGTGTGTGTGGGAAACTAATTGAACAAGATATGATAATGCATACATATTTATTAAGATTTGTTAGAAGATAAGAAGATCAAGACATATCCTCTAATAAGGAACAAGGTATGAGAGATAAAGGCTCCATATTACTACGTGGTGCTTCCCTCTATTTCCTTTTCTTTTTAACCTGACAATTTAAGTTAGGACTGAAAGTTAATGCATCCTTCTATCCTTTTAGGCTGGCTTCATTTGCTAAGGTTTTATTTTTTATTAGCATTTTTATTGGTACATAATTTTATGAACAAAATCAATCCCCCACCCCCATCCCCCTCTCTCCCGACCGGCTTCCTTTTGTTTTACTTTTACCGTGCCAAGCAAATATCTGTACATTTATATCAGTTGAATCGAATTTGGTTCGAGTGTTTGACGCCTTAAAGGCTTAAAAGCATATTTGCTAATAGCGCTCGTGTTAAGTGTTTTTTTTTTTTTTTTAAATCACTTCAATTCCAAACGGGTTCTCTCGAGAACCAACATCAAATTAAGCCCATTTAGGATCCGCTCGGGTTCAATTATCCCCAAATTTGGTTCGGGCGGCATCCTGAATTCAAGTCACCCGACTTGTTTCCTCCATCTCGGAAGAATTCGATTTTGATTGCAATATATTCTTCACCCCTAATAAAATTCAATCTTTGTGACAAAAAAACAGAAAAGCGGGGGAAAAAATGGCGACGGCGACCACCCAGAAATCAATCTCAAAGGAACTAGAACTGGTCGATGGAAAAAAGGCCAAACTTAAATCAGCATTCGAAGAGCTTCAAGCCCATTATTCTGTCACCAATCTCAATTGGGAAGACTTAGATTCGTACTTCACCTCCCTCCAGTCCCACCTCCTCCACAAGTTCTCCCGCCTCCAATCCCAAAAACCTGACCCGAAACCCCTGTCCCAACCACAGCCCCAGCAGCCCAAACAGAAAGAAACTCCAGCCAAGGATTTGTCGAACCCAGTTCCGGCTCGGGCTGAATTGAAGTCTTTCTGTGAGAATATGGATGGGTTAGGGTTGAGAAATTATATACTCGACCGCCCCAGAGAACGGGCTGCTATTCGGGTCGAATTGGCGGACGCTTGGAAGTACGCGCCGGACCCAGCTAAAATGGTTGTCGATGCCGTGCAGGGGTTGATTGCGGATGATTCGGGTTCGGGTACGAGTGTGGACTTGGGTGGGTTGAGGAGGGTGGGCGTGGTTTTGTTAGAGGAGTTGATGAGGGCTAAAGTGGAGATTAGGGACGGGGTTAAGGAGAAGGCGAAGGCGATAGCGGCTGAGTGGAAGGGGAAATTGGCTGCCGCCAGTAGTGGTAGTGGTAGTGGTGGTGATGGTGGAGGTGAGGAGGATGGATTGGAAAAGTTGTGTTTTTTGCATATGTTGGCTGCATTTGGGTTAGTGGAGAATGATGGTTTTGACTTGAATGAGCTGGTTGAGTATGCTGCTGTAATCGCGAGGTATCGACAGGCTGTGGAGTTGTGTCGTGCCCTTAAGTTTGGCGATAAGATTTCTGGTAATTTTTTATTGTACTAATATGCTCATCATTTTTACTCACTTTGTGTAAGTGAATAATTTCTTAGGTTTTTGTACGCTTTTAGTGGTCATGCAGTGACACGTGATTATTTTCAGGGGATATTTGTTGAATTTATGGATATTTATTGTGGAAAGATTTGAAAAGGCTAGTAGCCATGTGGTTGTGAGCTGAATTTGAGTTAGGTTTTGCACCCTGGTTTTTATGTATTGCTTTGTTGATTATTTGTTGAATTTGCCTGCCTTCCATCACCTAAATTGGGGTGAAAGAAGTGGAATTCTATGTGTAAACTGTCTCTAACTGGGAATTGCATCTGGAATTTGGCTGTAAAATGGTGAATAGAGTTATCTAGAACTTGTAGAAACTTTTGCAATTTTTGTACCCGAACAATGGAAATGGACGAACACCTTAGGTTAACGTAACTATTTTGTGGAGAGAATTCTCGCTCCTTGTACTGACAGGATGCTTGTGCATGAGAAATAGAGCAGAGCCAGACTAAGCTGTGAAGTCCCCTGCAAGTTTTGTCTTAATTATCTTTGCATCAGGCTAAGCCTTAAAGTTTGTTAGTCATTACACAAATGATTGCATACTCTAATAAGAAAAATGTAAGGCATTTATGGAATATGCTCTTGGATTACCGCTGAATCTCTTCTGAATTGTCTGATAAATATATTTTTCCTCGCTTGTTTGTGACAGACATAATTCAGAAACTTATTGGCGAGGGCAAACATCTTTTGGCTGTTAAGTTCATATTCCAATTTGAGATGACGGACAGGTTCCCACCGGTGCCTTTGCTGAAAACCTATGTATTAGATTCAAAGAAACTTGCTCAGAAAGTTCGCAAGGATGGAAAGAGTTCTCGTCAATCTTTAGTAATCTACTATACTTTAAAATGTCTTCTGTAGACTTCTTCACCGATTGAAATCTGCCTAAGTTGCTCAAGTAACCCATTCCTTCTTCCTTGTAGAATGAGGCAGCTGCAAAAGAAATTAGCTCGCTCAAATCAGTCATTAGAATTATTGAAGATCACAATTTGGAATCTCAGTATTCAAAGGACATCCTTCTGAAGCTTGTTGAGAAGCTAGAAAAAGAAAGGACAAGTAAGAAGCGACCTGCACCTGTCCCTGCAGTCAAAGCTCAACAACAGAAGCCCAATGTAGGTAAGCAGAGTAGGAAGATTGGAGCTGCTGGCCGGTCTACATTCCAAAAGAATGTTGCTACCAATCCAACTGTTCCAACAGTCCAACAACCTCATATGCAGATGGCAGGTTTATTGGCAGATCCATACCTCAGTACATCTGCAGCAGCCTATGGCTTGGCAGGCTCAACTCCTGCTGTTGCCCCATATGGAGGCACATCTGCTGGCATTTATGGGTTGCCAGGGACCCATATAGACCCTTCTGTAGCCGGTCTATACCCTTCTGAAACCTCCACGCGGCCTAGTTACTATGATAGGTCAGTTGTTTATGGTGGATATGGTTTCCCACCTCAGTACCATCAAGCTTACTATCCTCAGTAGTTTGCTTTTATAGATGGTCTCTTAATTTCCCCTGACTTTCTCCTGTGGCTAGCACAAAAGCATACTGCTTTTGGTGACCAGCATTTAGCAGATACTATACTTGGTTCTCGAAAGTTGCTGATATTTCAGTGATGGGTGGTACGCCTGAATTAATTTTCAGGTGTACATCCTTTTGGCATTTAAGAGATCACTTACTGATGATCAGTGATGCCTACCATATTCCCAAACTATCTTCCAGTTCCGATCCTTTTAGGCCACAATCATGTAGTTTCATTTGCATCCTGTGTGGCATAAGCACATAGTTCATTCCCATTCTTTTTCCCATAATCATGTGGTTTCACGTTGAAATTTGCTAAAAGAGATTTCTGGGGTTAACCACCATTGGAAACTGTTCCAGTTAAATATGTCTTTGTACCTTAATTACAGTTTTCATTTAGTCAGAATAGGTCAAACCTTTTTTTAATATTATTTTGTTCCTTTCTCTTATTTCTGTTGAAACGTGCAGCTAATTTGTTTTGTTAATCCTGATTAAGATATCATAATAATCCTGCCTCTCAGAACTTAAGAATATAAGCATGCCAGGAATTCTGTATTTACCACATGGATTGAAGTTGCAAATTTAAGTGGCCCGTTATTTTGTGTTCATGAGTTTATTTTGTACTAGGCTAGTTAAATGGGCTAGTTATTTTTAGTCTGAAGCTTGTAACGCTATGTATTGGTACTGCATCTTATCTTTAGAACTGAGTACTCTTTTTAATGCTCAGTGAGTGCAAGGTCAAATTTTTCTTCAATCGATGTTAGATGTATCTGCAAGCGCTGGTGCAGAACATCCATGGTTGATTTTTTTACCATCGACAGGCCTTTGTACATAAGTTTCCTTTTAGTGATGTAGCCTTTCACGTTAGAAATACATTTTCATCCTAGTGACATTAAGCTTTCATCATTGTCTTGTCGTAAATGAGAATCTTAGTGTCCATGACATAATTTACTTGTGTAGCAGAACCAATTGTTTTGCTGCCTTATATGCATGGGCAAACTTTTAAGTGGAATGCTTCTCCATGATGGGGAAGCTACTAGGCTGTGGGTCTTGTAGTTGGCTGATATGTTGACATGACTAATTGTTGATTGGGAACTTTTTGTGGAGGATATCATGACCGAAAGTGGACAAATTCTTGATCCTGTTTGTTTTGCATATTGAGAGCACATATTTAGGGTGTGCGTAACGGGTGCCATTTGCATTGGAGCTAAGGTTGTGAATTGTGATGCTGACTTGCTTCGGGCCTTGAGAGTAGTCATATTTGGCTGCCAACCTCGTTGTGTTGAACATCTCTAATAAAGTCTTGTCCATTCTGACAAACTTTTATCAGGAAATGGTGCAGAAGCCTTCTGCAAATCCAGATTCCACAGACCCTGAGATGGATAGGATCTTCTTCCTGCCCAGTCAAGCCCAAGCCCAAGCCCAAGCCCCCCAACACCCCCCAAAAACACCCTTCCTCTCTCTCTCTCTCTCTCTCTAACACACACACACAGAGATGTGCATGCATTTAAAATTTTATTGACAGAATAGTACTTGCTCTCATCTGTCTATTTGTAAACTCTAAAGATGTGGATTCAAACTGTGAAGTTTGTGAGAGTTGGGGTGTGATGTAATTATCTCAACTGTCTGATTTTAAGTCTATTTTATTGGCTGTTCCGGTGTTTTTAACAGATATGAGATGCTTCACTCTCTCTCTCTCTCTCTCTCTCATATTCGACGAAGTATGCTTCCTATTTGATGGAAATAGCACCTTACAGGTGTCTAGTCTCTAGCAGGTATGTGCACATTAGGTCTCGAAATCTTGATGATATTACAACATGAAAATGCAAGATAAAAAGGTGAATCGGCTATCATTCATAAGGTTTCTGTGGTTGTATGATATCCCAACACAACAAAACCTCTCAGAAAGTAGGTGGGGAAGTGCCTGGCGGTTGTAGCTGGAAATGGACACCTTTTGAAGTATTGGGAAACTGCTTTAGGCCTTGATTATATTTCTTGCGTCTCTGCTCTGCTAAAATCTAATTTTCACGGAATCTTAAGCTCCGATGTGGAGTCTTTTCTAGGGGGGGGGGGGGGGGGGGGGAATGATATTCATAGCTTGTTAATTATGCTTTGCTTGTTTCAAGAAGCCTTCGTTTGCTACTACTGCGGGAGAGCTCTATCTAGTGGAGGGCTTTCTTCAAGAGGGCAAAGGCATTCTTTAGATAAATGGAGGGAATTCTTTAGCGTTCGGACTTCCTTTTGTTAAAGATTTGTACAAAGCCTGGAATTTAGAACCATAACATATGAGCAGCACGTAGTAGCACGAGACCATAACATAATGAGGTCTGTCATTTTCTTTTTCCGGGGCAGGCGAAAGCAAGGTTCGTTCATTACGTGCAACCAGAACTTTTGTTCAGTTTTAAACGATTCCAAAATAATAATAAAACCGAATAGAACTATTATTATTTAGTTGTAAATGATATAAATCTAAAGTTGAACGTGCATTATGACGCGTCTATAATATCATCTGACCAATCTTTGGTTGTCTAAGATTTTTTTTTTTTCAGCTCAAGGTTCCTCTATTTTTTTTCTCTCCTTTTTACAGATACAGAAACCTTGCGGTGTGGTTTGAGCGTTACCTAAAGGGCATCTCTTGGCACAATAGCAATTGGAAGTTTCTCTTTTCCTCATTCGTTACAAGTTTTAGTCTCTTGACATGTTTTAGAGACCTGTTTAGTTTTGGTGGCATTTAAGGCCCTTAAAAGTTATTATAAAAGCGATTTTCTAAGTTTTGTAGTAATTTCTGGAGCCCGAGTGGCACACATATTCGTGAATTTTTTGAAGAATCACATGATGTTTATAGAACTGGAATAAAATAGTCCACTAAAATCTCTAAGGTTCTAGGAAGACAAATGATTTAGGTGAAATATTTTTGTGACTAGTAAAAGGTAACGTAGAATTCAGGGTTAAAAAAAAAAAAAGAAAGGAAGAAAACAAGGAGAAGATGAGTGATGGGACATCAATAATGAAATCTTGCTTAATCAAGCAAAGATCTAAAGTAAACAAGGAGGAGGAGGAGGAGGAAATTAAAAGAGAAGTAATGAAATTAAGTACTAGTAACAACAACTGACACTTGTTCGTCATTTGGAATTCGCTCCATGAAATGGAACCCAGTTTGCTTTCCCATGAATAACATATTGTCACCTAAACTCTTTTTTTTTTTTTTTTTTTTTTTTTTTTTCTAAACCAAAAACAAAGAAAGAAGGTCACCTATGAGCCCTAATTTTTTCAGCATAAAATTCTCCAATTTTGATTTTATGGTAGCTTGTCAACGGGGAATGATGATTCTCCACCAATACTCAGGTTCTTTGCATCTAACTATTTGATCAGTCACCTAATAGTGATTTCTTAACCAAAAACGCAATTAGTACTATAGTTATCTTGATACAAAATCCATTAACCTCACACTTTACCACATATATTCGAATACATTCTTAATCTTAATTAGTCTTTAGCAACCCCAGTAAAACTGCTAAACCACTGGTCCCTTACTGACAAGTCTACTCTCGCACACAACTCCGTATTTACAATCATACCCCTAACACGGTGCAAAGACAAAAGCTTCATCCAGGAGCAGCGTATTTCTATCTACTCAATAAATACAAAGACATCGGTCCAATGCTAATCCACGCGCGAGGTTTCAGAGGAAAACTCGAATTTACTGAAGCACCCCTGAACGTAAGTTTACCAAAATAGCCCTCTCCCATTAAACAAGAAGCAGCAAAAAGAGGTCCTCCCTCGTCCTCCCACCATCGTTCTCTTCTGCTTTTCCCAATGGAAGAAGCCTCCTCACTGCAATCACGCTATCACTCCCCTCACGCCTTCGAACAGCTGCACCAACAGCAAGTAGAAGAACAGCAAAGTGGTGCTTGTTCGAATGTGGAGATGGACGGACGGCTGACTTCATCTCTCCAGCGAGTCAGGGATGGAAATGGAAATGGAAATGGAAATTACTCAGAAGCTGCTGCAGCATACCACCACTCCGCCGCTGCCGCCGGTGGTGGCGGTGCTAAGTATAAGCTCATGTCTCCGGCCAAGCTCCCGATCTCTAGGTCACCTTGTACCCTCACAATCCCACCTGGGCTTAGCCCGACGTCGTTTCTTGAATCCCCTGTTCTACTCTCCAACATCAAGGTTAGCTTTTTATTTTAGATTAAATGGGTTATCTTCAGCTTTGATTTTACTTTTCAGTGGAAGAACAAGAGCCTTTTTCTTTTCCCTCTTTACTTTTGGTAGTAAAAATTAAACTAGCCTTAGCTTTAGGTTCAGATTCCGATCCGATACCCATTTTCTGTTTCATTTAGACACCGTACTTCCTAAAATTAAAAAAAAATGGCTACAAATATGAAAAAAGAATGGTTCTGAACTTGGACATCTTTTACAGCTCAAATGTTTTTTTTTTCCTTTTTCTTTTTTGGTTGGGGGCCGAGGAGGGGGAATGGGATGGTGTTGTTGACGTCAAGGGTGTCGCGAAACTGAGTGTCTTGATGATGTTAGATGTCTGTCTTAGTGTCTAGTGGAGAATTTGAGGAATTGGATGTTGTGAAGGGCTGCTTTGTAAAATGCTTTGTAGTCTATTTGTGGATAGTACCATTTCAATTAATGATAGGATGTTTGGTTCCTTACATCACGTCGCAATTTGTCCGTTTTAATTCCTTTTTCCATCTTGGGCGCTCAGTAGACTGAGAATATGAAGTTTTCTAATGGGATGTCTGATTCTTATCATCACATTTCACTTTGTTGGGATCATTTCCTTTTTGTCTACCATCTCAGTGCTATGTGGAGAATATCTAGTTTATTATGTGCGAACTTGTGTTTTAGCGTGGATGTCTCAGGACGTAGATTCTGATGCTCGCACTTGAGGTGTATTGTATTTGTTTCTTGGTGGATTTATGCCTCATGTTCTCTAGAACATTTTGCTTTCTGGGTTTACTTTTTAAGCTTCAGTATTGTTTTTTCACATAATGAATCTTTGCCTTATTTTTCTTTTTGGGTGCTTCCTTCTTTTCCGTTGTTGCTCTTATAGGGCAAATGATGTTGCATATGCATAAAATCACGTACTAAGTTGTTCTTGGCATCTAGAGAGGAACACATCTTTTCACTTCTGTTGGTGTGAAACTCATGAAACACATCTGATACGTTGAAGTTTTAGGTCTCATATTTCAAATTAATGAGCACTGTTGTTACTAAGAAGGGACCTACTTTCAATCATTCTTGAAATCACTCCTGGAGTGCCAGGACAATAAACATTTAAAGACTAATAATTTCCCTTCAGTTCCTCCCCCTGAAGATAGAGAGGCAAGAAGTTGGGGTGGGAAAACAGAAGAAAAAGATTAACAATTGCTCTTTAATTTCATTCTGCTAATTCCTGTTTGTTGATTTTTTAGTACCTAATTCTGCTAA